CCACACCATGGTGGCAGGCTGGGGGAGGGCACCACGGGCAAAGAGGCCTCTGTGGTCATCACGGCCGCACAGGTGGTAACACGCCTCCCCGGACCCACCTCTCTGCCCCATTTCCTCTCTTCCAGCCCCATGACTAGACTCCGGTGACTCCGTGGGACTCCAGTCCCATGACTTCTACTACTTGGACTGGCTAGCTCTTGGGCAGCAAAGAGCACACAAAGTCTGGGCTCTGGCTTTGTGGGCCTGGCCACAGGACAGTTTGAGGCCAGTAGCCAGGGTCGCCCGCTAGTCACCTGGGCCTGGTACTTTGTCCCAGAGTCCCCTTGCCATCTCTCCTGCTCGCCCTCACATTTGGCCAGCTGTTCATGTCTGACTGTCTCAGGGCCATTTTCCCACCCATCTGCCCAGACACTAGCCAGCCGATAGAAGGGCGAAGGTTTGGTTGCTTTGTCCTCTGTCCATCCTTCAGAGAGGATTTCTTTGCCAACCCTTAGGCCCGTGCTTCTGTTACTCATACCTGCAGCATTCCTCTCTAGGTCTGCCCACTACTGCAGGTGAGGGTTTTTCCTGAAGCCAGTGACCTTGGAGAGAGCCCCTCCCTCCAGTTCCCATCCCAGCTCCCTAGTTCTGCACCCTGAGTCTAGCACAGGCCCTGCCTTGGTCTTCAACAGACTTCAGGCTCACCCCTAGCCTCCTGCCTGCACTCCTGAGATCAGGGCCTGCCCTGGCCACCTGGCACCCCATTAGGTGGCTCTTTTTTGATCTAGCCCTCTCTGCGCTCGCTCAGCCCATATCCTCTAGGGGAATACCTGTCCCTCCTGCATCTAGCGCAGATGGCTCCAGGTCCCCTGGTGTCAAGTGTGAGGAATTGGTTGGAATTGGCTCCCCTCCCCCAAGACAGGACTGTCCTTTACAGCCCCTCCCCAGCCCGGCTGAGGAGGGCTGAGCAGGCATGTGCTCATCCAAGGCTAGGGGTACTCTTGGCCTCTGGGGGAGTACCTGAGGTCAGGCTTGGAGGGCTGGGGGAGGTCTTGGGCTCAAACAGGTCCTCTTGTTCTCCAGGGGCCCTCAGGGGATCCTTCTTCTGTGACACCTTCCTATGGGGGAGGGTACTGAAATGGGGAGGAGGGGCTGTAGGCATGTCCGCCTTGGACCAGTTCCAAACATGTGAGAGACAGGGGGTCCACTGGCCTCCACATCCCATGTCAGCTACGTTGGATATACGGAGGTCCAGGAGCTACCCAGGCAAACTAACCCCCATCCCTGTGCCCCCACACCAGACAGGTCACCACGGTGGGGTTCACAGAGGAGGGGCACCAGGCACTCTTGGCCCAAAGCTACATCCAGATCACAACTGCCTGCAGGGTCAGGTCCTGGGATGGAGGCTAGTGGTCAAATCTAGCTGTGGCAGCTGCTGCAGGGTAACCATGCCCAGGGAGAAAATGGGCTGGCTCGGGGACCTGGCCCTGGAAAGGGTGCAGGGCAGAGCCCTGGATGCTGGCCCACTGTGGAGGTTGGGGCCCTGAGTGATGGTCCATTCCGGGGGTCCACTGTGCTGGGGTGGGGAAGGGCTGTGGGGGAAGGGGGAGGGGCCCGTCGGGGAGGCGCTGTGGGAGGGCTGGCGTCCCGGCTCACCTGGGGGTGTGGGGAGGATGTACCTGGCACTGGTGTCTACGCTCTCGCAGGCCTTTGGTGGGGTTCCCACAGAGGACTTGCCAGGCACCTGAAGAAGAGGCTGTGTCTGTGCCTGGTTTGGAGCGGAGGTGCAGTAGGGTTAGCTCTGGGCTGGGGAAGATCAGTTACCGTGGGTGAGGTTGCTGGCATGGTCTCCTGGGGCTGGGTCCTCAGGAAGCAGGTCTTCAGGCAGGGGTCCCCCCGGGACCAGCAGAGACAGGGACCAGGGCGGGGTCTCTGCCAGGGGCAGCACCGGGTCAAGATTCTGCAGGGTGGCTCCGGGGGAGTGATCTGTCCAGAACAGAACTAGAGGTCTCTGGCCTGCTTCAGTCTCGGAGGCTTGCCTCTCAGGTCCCCATCTTTCCAGACAGGCCCTCCGCTGCGGACTTCCCCTCTCTGCAAATGCAGGCCCCGCGGGCACCCCCGTGGGGACACAGTCCTGAACTGGGGTTCATGTGCATTGTCCTGGGAACGGGTCATGCTGGAAGGTCTGACGTGCAGTGATGCGTCTCTGAGAGGTTTCGGGTTGATGGAGCCTGTCTTGGGGACTGATGGAGGCCTATCCTCTTGGGTGCTGGTAGAGGTCTGTCAGTAGCCTCAGTGGCTACTGGAAGCCTTTTCTGGGCCAGGGGCTACAGTAAACTTATGCCTACCTAGCCGGGGCAGGAGACTGTCCAGCAGGCTGCTCTCTCTGATGGCTTCCTTCACCATGAACCAGTCCTGGTTCAGCTTCTGGGTGTCTGGCAGGTTGGTGTGTGTGACAGGTATGTCGTCTAGGGTATGCAGCTGGGGGATGAGCTTCCTCACCTCTGCCCTGTAGTTGTAGCCTTGGAATGCCTGCAGGGAGGAGGAAGAGGGACAGCAGATTTGGGTCCAGTGGGATTTTTTTTTTTTTTGGGTCCTGTCGTGGGGCCTGAACTCTGGGCCCGAGCGCTGTCACTCAGCTCTTCAGCTCAAGGCTAGCGCTCTACCACTTGAGCCACAGCACCACTTCCGGCTTTTTTCTTTTTGCTTATGTGGTGCTG